CACTAACACTAAATTGACTGTCTTCCACTTTGTTTCTTTTTGGCGACATAGTTGTAAAAGTATAATAAAACTGATCATCTTTTGTTTGATTTTTAAAACAAGAAAATTTGTAACTCGGTAATAAAGAAAAACAAAATGAATGAGTAATGGCTGAATGTTTCTAATGTATAAACCCCGCCAGCCTGCACGATGCAAAGTTGCCTCTGGGTCAAGAAATTAATTTGCGCGAAATGTGCGAGAAAAAATAGGATGGTATAAATGTACGGAAGGAAGCCCCCTGTGTGGGGCGATTTGTAACGCCGAGGACCGCTTGACAGGGTTAAGCCTCCCTCTCGTGGCCGGCCGCCGGGCTGACCGCCAGGCCGACCTCGGGCTGACCGCATGGGAGTCTGCACGGGTCAGCAGGCCCACAGGCCCATACAGGTGGCAGGTGGCCCTGCACCTATTAATAACGTCCGTTACCTGTGACCGGTATCGGACGCCGCCGCAGGTCGCCACTCACCGGACAGGACACCCAACAGGTCGGCGGCTCTCGGAGGGAGGGGGAATTCTCTTAGGAGAAGGGAAGTACCACTGCGGAGTAAAACAAACTAACAGGATAACAGAGGGCGCTTCTCCGGGCATCCGCCGCACGGGCGCGCGGCCGCGGCCGGCAGTCGAATATTTCACGGACGTGACTAATTCCTTGCAGGAATCTGAAACGTGACGGGGAGGGTGGCGGCGCGGGGCGCGGCGATGGGCGCCGGGGGAGGGGGGCCGCGGCGGGGACCCGACCGGTGCGGTCAGCCGCCCCGGAAACACGTTCTAAACGTGGAAACCTTAGTTCGGGTTAATATATCACACAATTAATCAATGGCAGCCAGTGTGTGAGGCTTTTAGGCGGAGGAAAAATTGGGAGAAGGGAAGAAAGAAGGACTGGGCACAAAATTAAGCGTTCCAGCAAGGATATTTTATTAAAAACTGTACGACGCAGTGTGTGTTTGCACCGTCGTCGCGTCGGGCCCCCGATCTGTCAGATTACCGGCGTTTCATTTCGGTCAGCCGACGATGATTTACATAACTCAGCTCCGCGTGGACAACTATAGTGATGACCCAGAATTCCAGCTTTCGAGGGGGAAACCGCATAGCATCGTCGCCCACTACAGGCCGGAACGAAAACTGATTTGTAAATCCCGGAGCAAACTGAGCGCGATCCGCGTTCGCCAAACGTGACCGACGAAAGGGAAGCGAAACTGTCGAGTGCCAAACTGTAGGACAAGAAAAAGCTACAACGTAATCATTCATTAGTAGGGTCTTCTGGGGACGCGCCGGTGAACTGCAACATAATATTATAGCCCCTCGAATGAAAACTCCTCTGCCGTGCTCCACACCACAGTACATGCACGAATGGCAACTGGCACACATAAATGGAGGCGCCGTTAAAAAATAACCACCTTATACAGTAAGACATACGCGCCCTTACGACGGCCCCGTCCCCACACATACAATGTCGCTCTAGCACACCACGCGACGCTACCTCTCGGCTGCTGGCTGATGCATTGAATGGCGACGGCTGCGGGTGTCGCGCCACTCGAGGCACGCCGCCGCCACCGAATAATGGGCGCCTGTTGTGCTGTAAGCGCCTCGACGACATTGTATTGAGAGTGTGCGTCCAGCCAGGCCTGCGAGCCCATCCCATGGCGGCCCAGCCAAGCGGCCCATGGCCTGTCCGTTCGGGCCGACATCACAACCCATCAGGTTCCGCGTGGGGCTGGATGGGGTGGGGAGCGGACGCGGGCACCCTACCTCCTCCTACCGCCCCTCTTCTCCGTGCTGCTGCTGTAGCGGCAACCTTATGCATAATGCATCGCTAATAGAGACGGTCTATTCCAGGCTTCCCGCACACAAATTAAATGCCTGCTGCACTTACCTTTCCCTCCGTGCCGATCATGCCGATCGTGTCGCCCCCCGCCGCACAGTTCCCAAAGGACTTCTGCGTGTGTGTGTTCCGCGACGACCTATGGGGGGCGCACACCGGCAGACACACGCACTCTTTCTTTCGGATCGGATCGGCGACGAGAAGCAGGGTAATGTGAAGCAGGCCGCGCGGCTCGTCGTCGTCGGTGACCCAGCCGCGCGGGCGCGCGAGACACGGGCCGCGAAAGGGACATGCGCGGTAAACAACCATTTTCCGCGACGCGACGCCCGCGCTGTCCACCGCGCGTCCACCTGCGAGGCCTGTCCCGCCCGTCCCGTGCACCGCGGTCCTTATTCGGCCGACGCGGCGGCGACTCCGTATAGTCGTCCTCCTCCGAATATTAAAAGCACCACGTGCTCAAGTGCGCCGCCACGGACGCGCCAAGCCACGCCAAATTTCTCCTCCTCTTGCGGGGCCTGAAGCGCCGCCGCCGCCGCCGCACCGGTGGATGAAATATTAACGTATGCGCGACCCGGCTCGGCTCGACTGGACCAGGTGTGTGACCGGCCTAGCCACTGGCCGGATGGATGACCAGTCCGTGACCCCGCCCCGCCCGCCCCGTCGGCAAAGACGCGGCGCTGCGACCGGGTACGGCCGGTACGGCGCAGAGGCTGGCTATCCGCGTACCCCTTCCTTGAATGGCCGTCCCGGGCCGTCCCACACACTCGCACATTCCTCGGGGTACACGGCGGCGGGGCGGGCTGCGGGGTGCGCGGCTGCGCTATCACTTGGCCGAGTCGTCCTGCTTCCCGCTGACCCCGCAGGGCACGTAGTACTCGCAGGGGCCTCAACAACGAGGTCGCCGCAGCAAAGGCTCGGACACCGCAGTCGGGGTCGGAATGACTTTGCGCCTTCATCACAACTGAGAAGTGCTGTGACATCCCCTCTGGCGATACGAGGAACGGTCCCGTAATCACAATGAACCCCTCATACGTGGCTCACAAATAGCGACCCCGGTCCGAAATCTGCGTGGCCTGGACCTGAACCACCTCGGTTCGCTGTTCGCTGGGTGGCGCAGCCGCAGGGGCGGAGAGAGGCTGTGGGTGCTGTGGGTCATCAGGCAGCAAGGCGGCCAGGTAGGTATAACGTTATGGGGCGCGGCTTTGGCTATCGGTCAAGGAAGACGACACGGCGAGAGCCATCAGAGGTGGTCAGTCCCCGTCCGACAAGGAATTAGTAAAGTTACTTTAGAGAGCCCACCAGTGCAACATCCGA